AGATTTAAAGCAATATTAGAGAATCGTCAGAAATTGAAACTGCGCAAAATTAATGACTACTTCGATCAGTTGTTCTTCAACTGATGTTTTGTGATTTTAATGATTCCTTTTAAAAGTAAAAAAATTGATAACAGTGGTAAAGTTAACATTTATTTTACTTACTTTGTTTTCAAATTAAAATCTCATGTTTAACTTTGAACATAATTTATTGGATATCATTTTTTGGTTTTATATTTCTGTTGCTTATTTAATAGATTTTTCGATGTTTTAACTCTCTACGAATTTTCAGTCAACTGCATTTGAGTATACTTTGTTTTGTCGTTTGTCGTTTTTGATCTACCCTCTACAGCGTGGATCAAAAACTGGGGTGATTGGATCACGGCGCATACTGCGCTTGAATTGCGCTAACTTTAAACGCAGGCTGTTTCGCAGCAGAAAAACCTTCATTCTAAATAGCGCCATAATTTGTATCAGTTTTGAAGTAAGCACTGTATATCTCAAACTTTGATGTGCATAGTCTGCAATTCTTACTGACATTTATGCAAATCTGAACCACATTATTTGCAACAGCTCCCTGTGTACTTTGATCGCTGCCTGACAAACCTTAGGAATATGTTCGCCGTTCTAAACGCAGTAAAAAGGTCGTTCAATTGATCATATTGAAGCGAATATGCGTAATGTACCGTACGATTGTACAGATGAATAAGTTTGACTCTCCGAGCCCGTTTATGCCTATTGTGCACTTCTTCCTAACGAGTGATCCGGTACCCTTGTACAGTTCTCACCAAACCAGATTTCTTTCGTTTTGCACCATTTCAAGAAACCGGAGTTTCCACGCAATTTGCAACTTGATCCGGGTTGCCAGAGAAAACAGGCGGTGAACCGGAAGGAATTTTACTCCAAAATCACAAGGCGGAAAAAATAGCCTGCGGTACAGTACAAACCAGTGACCATCTCACAGTACACATTGGCCATCGTGCTGGCGAATAGCACTTCCGGTCTTTGTTAAATGGAAATGCCATTTGATATTGCTCGGCAGGATGTTCCCAAGGTGTCATTCACTGGAACAGTCCTCGTTTCTGCTGTGCTGACGCCACCAGCCGGTTCGTGCATG